AGATAGATAGATAGATAGATAGATAGATAGATAGATAGATAGATAGAAAAGGAATAATGATCATGGCTGTGAACACTCACTCACTGAGCACCAAATCTGAAAAGTGAAAAGAAATAATTTTGTTCTTTAGTTGATCCATGTACTGTTTGCTTAAGACTTGTCAGAAAAGGCCTCCATGGAAAGTGCAGCTCTGAAGAAGGGAAACGGTGAGAAAGCCTGAGGTGTGCGGAATGACACAGGAGCCGGACTGACAATCAGTGGCAACATCTCTTGTGGAGGGTTGAATCCTCTTTGGAGCCCTGGCCAAACAATGCTGCATCCTGACCCTGGATGCGCTCACCAAAGGAGGCTAATGGATGGCTTCTTTGATCCATCCTTGTGTTCCTTTTATCTTCTGGTACTATCTTCTTGTGGTCTCAGGTCCCTCTCTAATTAAATAAAACTATTTTTGGGACAATTTACCACATGAAGGAAATGTTGCTGCTCTGACTCCAGCTGTTAAGACTCCTTGGTCTAAAACAGAAATAAATGGTTGTACAATAACATACAAAACCAAGTATATGTTTATTGTTTATTTTCCTAACTTTTTACAGCCATTTCTACTGCTGGCATTACAGTTTACCCTCCGTCACCTGTATCCTTCAGGTGGTTTAAATCTTTCTCTTTCCAGTCTTGGCCCGTGCAATCTATCCATTGCTTACACAGCTGTAATCACCTCTGAGCAAACAAATACTCTGACCATTGTTTTTACAAATAATTACCCAACATGCAACGTCTGCCCGCTCTGCCAGACTAGCAGGGGAGCAAACAGATGCTCAAGTAGGGGGGCAGAATCTCATCTGGGATAAAAATGCCTACTCTTCATTATGGTTGATCCAGAAGTTTGCTGTTGGCGGCCCGAGGCTGAGAATAGGACAAGAGCCAGGGCCAAAGCTGGCTCAGCTCCTAGCTGCTATGTAAAGTCTGCCTCAGCCACAACCACATTGCGCAAGGCTGCCTCACACATGTAATTTAGTTATTATTTACAAAGTTTAAAAAAGGTTTTGAAAAGTTTTGCTGAGTGAAATAGTTGTTGGAAATCTAATGCAGAGTTTCTGTTCGGGAAAGAATAAGGTAGTGCAACGCTAAAAATATGGGAATCTTATGGAGTCCCAGTCAGTTATCACAGCTGATTGACTTAGAGAGAACCACAGAAACCGTATGCTTTGAAAAATTACTTACAGTTCTGAGGCGAGACCATTTAGGTAATGACTGGCAAAGCCCAGCTTAAGTGCATGCCATCAGTAAGGACTGCTGGAGAGGATGGCTAATTCAGCATGCTCACAGCAGACAGGCAATGACTTTTATTGGAGGCAGGAAATAGATGTCTCTGAGCTCATGGTTCATACTGCTAAACATCCTCAACAGGAGATGAGTGTATCTTGGTGTGACTGAGACAAATATCCTTCTGAAGGATCATCAAAAGCCTCTGTTGTGTAATGGCAAGAGTTTACTCAAACGGGTGGCACCTCATCAGACAAAGACACGTTAATGGCCTGGTGGCTCAACTGTTGTCCCATTAACAGTCATCCGGCCTCAGTAAGAGGTTTTCCCTGCTCGCCACCTCTTTTCATGCCACCCTGCCTCCACCAGTCGATCTCATCTCCTGTAACACTTTAATGTCTCTGCTTGCGGTCCATCCTTTCAAAAAACACTGTCCTTAACCCCACCAAAGCAAAGGCTCATGCGCAATCTAATTTCTGTAGGGACTTTACAAAGGTGGAGTCCTCTGTAACAGAAAGGAGCTGAGGACATAGAAGCTTTGATCTCTCAAGGGGGTAAATGGATTGGATTGTTTTACCCCTGCTGGTGGGGCTAAGCTGGGGACTGAGTGAGACGCAGGGGGTCATATCAAAGGTAGTTATCTTCTGAGGGCCATCTCAGCAGCACATTAGTACACTATCTAAATGTTGATGTGTTTACACCGACATCTGAGGGTCCCTAAATGAGCTGACAAAAGGGGGCATCAAGTGAATGCAAATGAGCAAACTGGTCAAGTTCATCTTGCTCTTCAGAGGTGAATACAGCTTATCTCTTTCTCAGAGCCCAACCAAACCCCAGCTCTTAAATGGGCCTGCTATTATTTCTAAATGTCAAAATTCCAACTCAAATCGTCTGAGTTCTCTGCTGAGCATCACCTGGTCCGTCCTCACACAGAGCCAAACACCATGCTCATCATC